ACTTTTTTTTTTTTTTTTTTGGTACTGGAGATTGAACTCAGGACCTTGTGCTTGCGAGGCAGGCAGCAAAACCACTGAGCTAAGTCTCCGGCCCCAAAGATGTTACTTTGTGTCATTAAGCCTTCTTAATTTCCGGTGAGAAGTACATTGCATTTCAAATTCATTTTTTCCTATATATAGTATGTGTTTTTCCTGGTGACTTTTATTATTTTTATCTTTAATTTGTCCAGGATTTTCTTCTTTTAACCTCTTTTTGGAATTCTTGAGTTCTTAGAGTTGGGATGTACCAGAGTTGAGGAGTTGTAGGCTGTTCTTTTAATAATTTCTTTTTCTCTCCCAGGCTGTTGGATTTTTTTCTTGGTACCTTTTATGCTAGACTTTTAAAAATTGTTCCATAGGTCCTCCAAGTGTATTTGTTTGTCCATTTTGTTCTCTTTTTCATATTGTGTGGTTCAAATTTATTGAAATTTTCTTCTGCATGTTAGTCCCCAAGTGGTGGGCCATATTTTCCTCACTCTCTTTTTGGTGAGTGCAGCGGGCTTTATTGATGGTGTGATGAGCCAGGCTCTCCAGGCCCCTTTCCTCACTCTTCATCTGCACTCTAGGTTGTATCCTGCTCCGAAAGTGTTGTTTATTCTGTTAACAGACCATTTACTTTGACTGAAGTTGTAGCCTGTAGCTCCTGAGGCTGTAGCTTCAGTCCTGGATCACTTCTTTAACCTTAGCTGCATTCAATTTACTTTTTACATTCATGGTTCAGAAGTCGGTTGGCATCATGCTTGGTTTATACAAGGAATTATGGTTTGCTTGTCTGCCTTTTACCTGCCGTGGCTCTCTAGTCCCTTTCTGATTTCCTTAGGTTCCTCACCCTGGTTCCTACAACCAGAAAGAATGCTTTTCTATCAGTTACACCTGCCACTGTGACTATTTGAGCTCAGAATAGAGCTGCAAAACAAATATATAAATGAGCAGACAGAGTGCTCATTTTCTTTTTGCTGGTTACTTGTTTTAACTCTTGATTCCTTTCCAAAGTCCCTTAGCTTCTTTCAGTCTCCAAAGCCCACAGGCAGTTGTTTCGTTTTTTGTTTGGGGACTTTGCGGGGGGTGGGAGGGTTGTTATATTGTGCAGGCCTTGCAGAGTTACAGATGAAAAGTCTGTTTGTGAGGAGCTCGTTCTCAACATCAGAAGCAACCCCCCTTCCAGTTGTTTTTCATTGAGATCTTTATTGAGATAGGAGTAGATTCACATATAGTTGTAAGAGTGAATACAGTGAGATTGCAAATACACTTTACCCAGTTACCTCTTTTTGCAAAACTGCAGTATGATATTACAACCAGGATATTGACACTGATTTGATTTGCTGAGCATACTCAGCTCCAGCTTTATTTGTATTTGTGTGTGTGTGTGTGTGTGTGTGTGTGTGTGTGAGAGAGAGAGAGAGAGAGAGAGTTATATACAATTTTATCATATGGAGGTATTTGTATCCAGCATCGCAGTCTTACAACTATCTTTGAAAAGTGTAGGAAATGCTGCAGTTGGAAGGAACTAACAATTTCTGACCATTGAACTCAGGGCCTTCCCACTGAGCTACATCCCTATCCCTTTTTCATTTTTCATTTTGTGGTAGGATCTCCCTAAGATGCTGAGTTGCCCCGGCTGGACTTGAAATGTGATCCTCCAGCCTCCACCTCAGCCTCTCAGACTGCAAGGATTGCAGACATGTATTGCCATACCTGGCTAAGAAGATTAAGAAATATTGTTAATTGTTGAGAACAAAGACATATACCTTGTAAATGTCTTTAAAAGTAATCCCCTCTTTCAGATTGTAAATTTCTTGACTGCAAAAATGACTTCATCTTTTGTGTTGTTGTGAATACAAATATATGTTTAGAATACAAATATATGTTGTTCAGTCGAGTTGAGAAGTAGGAATGTTTTTAATATTTTCTCTGCTTTTTGACCAAGACCAAGATTTTTCAAAGCTTACATCCTTATTATATTTACTTTCAAATATAGTACATGAAAGTACTTTATAGCTGTTTGATCTTTTGAAGGTGGTATTGCTGCCTTTGATAAAAAAAAAAAAGTAATTAGGTGAGCCGTTCCTGGTACAGGTAATCATCAAAGCTCAAAAGAAAATACTTTCTTTCAACTATTATATTTCTAGGTGTTCTAGCCCATCATCCATGTGGCTATTTCTCCGTCTCTATCTGTCACTCTCCAACCACAGTGAAAGATAGCTTTTGTGAATTTATTTCGTTAGAGCCAATTTTTTTTAAATCCAACTTTTCTGTAATGTACTGTGATAGAAGGTGATAAAATTGTCTAGTTGTGAAATGGGTTTCATTTGCAACCTAATATGCTCTTGGAAAACAAAATGCCCTGGTAGAGGTAATATAGTCACAAATTCTTTGGAGAATAAATACAAATAAAATTTCTGTATTTTCATATGACCAGGGAAGAGTTATTACTTTTCTTTATTTTTCTTTTCTGATTGAGGATTTGAGATTAACTTGTTCTGCCCAGCATATGCTATTGTCAAAATCTTAGAAGTTGACTATTTGGCTCTCTGCTCTGGGTAAGTTGAAAAGAAGATAACTAGTGGGGGGCTGGCAGAGCCTGCTCTTTGGGGGCAGTGTAGACATCATAAGGCCATGGGAATTATAGAAATGGCTTCTGGTATTGGAATAGTCACTCTCCTTCCCTGAGTAGATGTGATATTCAGTGTAGTTAAAACACACAGCCTCACTTGGAAAAGACAATAAAGTACTTACCATTGTATTTCAACTGAAGTGTTCATTGAATGCCCACAGTGTTCCATGCATGTGAATACTGTGACACAGTGACTTCTAGCAAAGAATTCAAGGACTTCAACCATTAGATCGAGTCATTCCCTTAAACTCATCTGTCATTCATCACATACACACATCTTTTCCTCAAATCCTCTTAATTTCAGTCTCAGCCTGGCCAGTAAATGAGAATGAGGTGCTGATTATAATAACCTTCCTGGGAAAGAAATGTTCCATCCTCTGCTTGGGGTTTCAAAGAGGAAATGTTTCAAAGAGCCTTCATTATTTAGAAGAAAGAGGACCAGGTTCTAGACCAGCAGGATGTTATAAGGATGATGATGATAGAGTCCTAAAGGGAACTTGAACACAGTATGTCTGAAGTAATGGGAATGAGGAAAATAAGGAAGGCTCTGGGGAGACCAACTGGAAAGAGGAGAAAAGAAAATTGGAAGAGTTGATTTGGGCCTTTACACCAAATTAATTTAATCTTTTACCTTATTTTTCCTTTTTTGCTATACTTCATGTCTTTTTATGCCCCTTGTTATACCTTATGACAAGGAGGCAAATAAACAGAAAACAGGAAATTTTATCAAGGAAACAAATTCTGAAGTCTGCTTTGGACATAGCCCATTAAGTTCCATGTCATTCGCTAGTGAAGGCCGAGAATTTTTAGGAAAAGTGGGGACATACATAATGTGTCTCAAATTTTACATTAAAACAAATTGAGAATGCAGAAGTTTGGGGAATATCCCAGCTTCTAAAAGATTTACAAAAACGGGAGAAAGGAGATTATTCTTTCTTTCCAACTTTGTGCCAGACAGCACAATATAACAGGTATTATATTTTATTTTCTGATTTAGGCTTACTCATGTACAGTATTTTTGTTTTCTTATTTGAAGAAATTTCTTCACTTTTACTTGAAACAGGGCCCAGTTGAATATTATGTGGCACTGTCTATGTCAACCTCTTTAGACCCATTAAGAAAATCTTTCTATTCAACTTTTTTTTTTTAATTTTGGTGCCAAGGATTGAAGTCGGGACCTCACACTTACGAGGCAGGCAGTGGAACCCCTGAGTTAAATCCTCGGCCCCTTTTATTTCTACTATTAAAGAAGCCTCATCTAAGATTTACTCATGATCTGTTTTCTACATTTATCAGTTGTTGCTTTTGGCCAACATTGAATTGTCTTGGGTAATACTTTTGAGTGATATTTAATTACTTTTTATTAATAGAAGATATTCAGTATCACTACTGAAAATGAATTATTTATAGAAGCTTTTTTGTGATCATCTAGTCTAAAACTACCCTTGAAGTTATAAAAGCTTTTTCTTTTTTAGTTTTATTGGACATGTTACCATCCATCTAGAGGCCCATGCACTCTACCTATTCTCCTCTGTGCCTCATTCACACATTAAACCCAACTGGAAAGGAGCTCCATCCTTCCCATTCTTGACAGGGACAGTTGCTTACAATAAAAACAGTTCTGCCGATACTTGTAAACACTTGACATTTTCAGTGTCTGGGATGGCATGCCATTTGACATCCTTCATTACTCCTTACAAGAAAACAGCAAATAACCATAAAGCAGAGAATTTTAAGAAGCCACAAGGGATAGGGACTGAGTACAACACTCTTTCATTATAGGTGGAAAATGGCCAAGTTTATGACTAGGGTGATCAAAAGCATTCTCTTTGCATGTGTAATCAAATGCTTAATGAACACTTATAAAATAAGAAAATAACATTACTATTGATAATGCGTTAGAAAGAAGAGTGGAAGTTTATATAATCTAAAAATCACTCTTTTATTTACACATCTCATTTCTATAATTAAACTTATTTTTGCGGAACTGGAGATTGAACTCAGCACCTTGCATCTGGGAGGTAGGCACGGTGCCACTGAGCTAAATCCCTAGCCCTACAGTTAAACTTTTATCTGATAAATTTTTCATCTGTTGAGTTTCATTAGACCCTGATGATCAAAGGATTTAAATATTGAAAAGGATTTTTTTTTTTAATGTCACTACTGGGGGACTAAAGGAGGAAAAACAGTTAAGGCTACTTAGTAGTGACCCATGTAACTGTTGATATTGTACACCTGTAAAATCCTACCAGTATTTTATTAGGGTAATTGACTGATGTATAACTGGTAGTATTAAGAATAGCTATAGAAAAAATAACTTAGGTCTCTTCTCTCTCTTTCTCTTTAGGTTTATAGCCAAACCATGTGCCATAGCCCTCAACATTCAGGCCAGTGGGCCACAAATTGCCCCACCAAATGCTATTCTGGAAAAGGTCTTCACTGCAATTACAAAGGTAAGAGTGTCCTTTCCTCGGATATGAATTGTCCACATCACCGCTACTCTCTACCTATGGTCATTCAGTTCTCTCCTGGGTTTGGAGAACCAACTTTTTGCCCCTCCTCATGCCAGAAAGTGAGTTGAGAATTTGAGTATTGTGATTAGACGTAGGCTTAGTGGATGGTGAGTAAACATGGGTGTGCTTCAGACCTGCAGGTTTACTCTTGAATTGATTTTAGAAGCTTGTCTATGAAAACGTCATAATTACATAGTGGTTAGTCTAATCCAGTGCCACTTTATTTTCAGGTGACATGAGGTGATACAAGTAAGTCCTGGGTAGGACTTTTGGAGGTGACTATGAAGAATGAAGAAATACAATTTATGTATGTGTGGGGAAAAAAGGGACCTGTTTGTTTATAGCGTTGACCGTGCGTTCATTGTGATAAATAGGCAAATGTAAAGAACAATGGAAAAATAATTGAAAAAGAAAAGAGTTGAATGTAAGGAATGAAGAATTTAGGCCAAGAGAGTTAAAAGTGAAGAGATAGCGTCACTGTGTTGAATAAAAGAGGTGCTCAGGGTGGTGGGAGTTGAAGTCTACACCATGAGTGGGCAGAGGCTGGGGAGGAAAGCCCACCTCCTTGCCCTCCACCTCATCCCAAGCAGGTGCCTGCCGTATCTCCTTAGGAATGGAAGAAGAGGAGGAAGCATGAAGTCAGAAACCCTGGATCTGAGGCCATACGAAGGTGAAGCAATTGGAGAGTCTTGGCTCTCACTCTCACTCTTACAGATCTCTTGTAGATCTCATCTTAATCCTCCCTGGATAAGAGAGAAGAAAAGAGCAGGACACGGGTAGCATTCTGTGAGAAGCATTGTGTGTTTATATATTTAATGTTTCATTTTCCCTTGTATTTTTCTGGAAGCATCATCCTGGCTTCTAAGATATGATTTGACAGTGTTAAGCAAATTCTGTTCTTTTTGGTTATTTGTGATGCTAGCCATTAGTACTGTGACAATTATTAATTCAACTATCTGAACACTTCATTTTATTGTCTTTATTTCTGCCAAATTCTATAAGGTTGTCCTTCCTTTTTTAAAAAAAAATGGTATTTTTTTTCCTGGAAAAGTGTAAAAAAGAACCCATTATCTTTTTTATATCTCTGCAAGGAAGAGGAGAAGAAAGAATGGAATTTTAGGAAAAGCTCTTTTAAAAAGGCATTTCCTAGGATGATTTGAGGATCCAACCCAAAGCAACACATATCCTGTGGTATTAAAAAAATATTATTTAGGAATAAAACCTCCACATTTTCACTAGTGTAAAACACTTTCTCTCCTCTTACGAAAGCAGACGTGTTGGGAATTTTCAGAGGTTTTTTTGTTTGTTTTGGTTTTTTTTTCTTTTGGTACTGGGAATTAAACCCAGGGCTTGTGTATGTTAAGGACATGCTCTGCCAGGTTCATTTTTTAATGTGATGACAGTATATTTGAGTTTTCTTTGTGAATGCATTAAGCACACATTATTCTAAATGACTAAGAAAATGAATTTTATGTCTCCCTTTAAAAACCCTAAAGAGGACATTGTATTTCCCCTGCCTAATATTTTTCAGTTTCTGGGGAAATTTCCCCTAGAACGGTAATAAAAAGGTTTTGCAGCCAGAGTAAGTGCTCCAGCGATTATTTGCTTCTAGCTAATTTTAATAATCAGAATCTTTTAGTTTCCAAGGTGATTCCTTTGGAAGTTTTTACATGATTAAAACAGAAGCCTCGTGTTTTAAATATAAATGCAGCAAAAGTCAGAGGTGTTTTTTCTCGTATTCTTTGTAGTTCTTCATTCTTCATGGTGATGTAAAATGTGACAGGTCGGTTCACTGGAATAGGGAGAGCAGAATTTGGGGAGCTGAGGTAAGCCTGTGGGTGTTTGGGTTATAATCCAGTGTCCAGGCCTTGGCCACAGGTCCAGGTTACCCTTTGAGGAAAGGCGTGGTGGTCTTCCTCCAACTGTGTAGGGCTCTACCTTCAAAAAGTCTAATACGTACAGGAAAGGCTACATAGTTTGTGAGGCCTCGTGCAGAATTACAATGTGTGAGCTCTTGTTCAAACAACCCAAAAGTGTTTCCCTTCTTTCCACACTCCTTTCCAGTCTGTTGTGGTGTTGTTGTTTGCTGAATAATTGTCATGCTGTTACCCACAGGGCAAGGGCAACCCCTCACAGGTGCTGGGGCCCAGCCCTATGACTTGGGCCATTCTTTTCTCTAGCTGCCAGCTGATACACTGGGCCTGGGGAGGAGGGCGGAGAAGTCGAGGCAGCCGCTCCCCTGTCCACAGGCCCACTGCCCTGACCCATAGTGGGTGAGTGACTGCCAAGGGCATTGTGCCGACTGTAACCAGATCAGGGGTGGGCAAGGGACTCAAGCTACTGAATCACCCACCAAACACTGCAATGTGGCACCCTCTATGCCCCTCCCTGAGAAACCTCGGGGAGCACAACCCGGACCCCATCCATGCCTTTGTTTGCACTCAGGCCCTGTTGGGGCTGAAGGCAGCAGGTGCAGGGGAGAGCGTGGGAGGCAGTGGGGACTGGGAGTCAGGGGTGGGGAAGGGGTGCTGAGAACCCATCTGGGGGACGTGGTGGGACTGTGTGTGAGCCAGGACTTTGAGCCCTGGCACACGGTCCATTGCAAAGCAGGAATTCCATGATAAACCATGAAGAATTTCAAGATGGCAGTCAAGGTGCTTTAAACCTGAAGTTGGGCCCTTCTGAATGTGAGGTCCTGCCCCGTGTGACTGCTCCAGTCACTTGCTTTGACTCCTCAGCTCTCACTGTGACATTAAGTAATAAATTTGAAGCCTTTATATTCTCAGCAGAGGTTCTCTCTCCCCCCTCTACTCTCTGTGCCTCTCCCTGCCTCTCTTTCTTTATGCTGGGGATTGGACCCAGGGCCATATGCACTCTAAGCATGCATTCTGCCACGGAACTCCACTCCTAGCCCTATATTCTTTTGAGATATCACCTGTTTGTCTGTGGTCTCTCTTGCCTTCCTGCCCCTAAATCTGAAGTCTTACAGACATTTTAGAAAACCTTCCTCTAATAGAAAAGAATTAAAGGGCCAGGGATTTAGCTCAGCGGTTCTGTTGCCTGCCTCACAAGCACAAGGTCCTGAGTTTGATCCCTGGTACCAAAGAAAAAGAATTAGAGGCTTTGATGTTTGATTCAGTTGGTTTATATTTTCGGTTATCTGTTCTTCTCCTCCTCAGTGTTGTGGGCCTCAGCAAGTTTCTCGGCCTCTCTAGGCTGCAGATAGCTGCAGCTTGCTACATGATATTTCTAGAGGTTATGATTCTATAGTCTTGGGATGACACTAAAAGATCCACAGCTGTGGGTTGTCAGACCCATTCAAATGAACAGAATGGCTCTTTGTCTTTAGGAATATTTTTTAGTGTATGTCTTTTAACTGGTTATATCCAGAATTATCAAGGCATATATATTTTCTGGCATTTGAGGATTCTCTTCCCATATTATTTGCGTATATCTGTGATATCAACGACCTCACTTTTCTACTCAAATTATTTCTAAAGCTGTGGGGGTAAGAATATATATTGGCTCTCACCGGGCGTGGTGACACACTGAGTGCTGTAATCCAGCACTCAGGAGGCTGAGGCAGGAGGATCGCTGTGAGTTTGAGGCCATCTTGGGTTACATAGTGAGTTCAAGGCCAGCCTGAACTGCATAGTGAGACCCTGTTTCAAAAAAAAAAAAAACCCAAACAATTATATATATCAGCTCTAAAGCCAAGTTTCATGATACAGGGAAATCATATATATTAGACTATATTTAAAAGTTGTGGGCAGATTCCCTTTAGTGTTTTTTCCTCCCTCATTCTCTTTTTTTTGGAGGAGACTCACTGGGAAGGCTTATGAGTTTTGAATATACTTAAACTGTAAAACTGAAAAAGAAAGAAAGAAGTTGAGGGTTGGTAACAGAACAAAATGTTAACATCATATAGTCCCACAATGTAGAAATGATACAGCTCACTAAGGGAGAAGGAAAAGAAGGTGGGTAGTAGGGTAATTCACTGATTGCATAATCTCTGAGGGGTGGGAGTCAGCTTATCAGTGAAGCTAGCAAATCAAATAGAGGTACAAGCATATTTGATAGTATAAGGTTAAACACTAAGAAAGAAAATATTATTGACTAGTATTGGTGGTGAAAGGCAAGGAAGGGAAGACAAAATGGTGCTATTTGTAAATACTGCTCCTGTGGCATTCTTAAAGATGGAAAATATAAGAAAATTATAATAATATGAGTAAACACCAAAACAGAAATTATACAAAAAGGAGAGAAAATAAAATAAACCCTAAAATATTTTTAAAAATCATCAAAGCAGGAAGTAGAACATAATTAAAGTAGCAAAATGTAAAAAAATCCTGCTTGATCCTGTCTGTACATACATATGGGTTTAATTCATCCAGTAAAAAGTAATTCAGGGTTGTTATTCTTATGGGTTGAAATGTGCTCTGATCTCCAGATTTATCTATCAGAATTCTATCTTCCTGTACCTCAGAATGTGCTCTTCTTTGGAGAAAGTGTACATACAAAAGTAATTGAGGCAAAAATAGGGTAAGTAGAGTGGGTCTTAATCCAATATGTCTGATGTCCTTATATAAAGGGAACATTTGAACACAGACACAGTCACAGGGTAGATGATGTGGAGAGCTATAGGGAGTAAGCAGTGTGGTGGTTGTTAACTTTTTTTTTTGGTACTGGGGATCAAACTGGGGTCCTTGAGCTTGCACAGGAGGCGGTGAAACCACTGAGCTAAATCGCCGGTCCTAACTTGGTTGGTTTGGGAGTTGCTCAGGGGATCAGTAAAGCACATTTCAGGTTGGGTCTGGGAGATCATGGAGTATGATTTGGATACTGTCTTAGTTACTTTCTCATTTTTGGGACACAATATCTGACATCTACAACTTAAAAGGAAGAGGAGCTTATGTTGGGTTAAGGTTACAGTCTGTGGT